GGGGGGGGGGGGTTGGGCAAAACCCCCCAAAAAAATTCGAGCACAAGAAAAATCGTGCATAAGAAAAGTGCCAGAAAATATTACAAATTATGTCCAAAAAAAATTCCTGTACAGCCATGTGGCTTTAAAAGAATTCCTGCACAAAATAAATTGCCGACCCCCCCATCTCAAAAATCTGATGGTCTGTCCCTTACTAGTATCATCAATTCGTGCAATTGATAAAATGGTTTCTGTCAAATATAATGTTTCTTGCGGAGATGAAAGTAGATTAATGATAGCTAACGGTGCAAATCAGTTACTGTCTGTTAATCAGCAGATGCTACTTAACATATATGCAAAAATCCATTCGAATATAAATATCCTATATCATACATTTTGATGTCACTTGAAAGCACTGACTTCCGCGTTATTGATCAAACTGTTCACGCAAATGTGCATACACGATTTGTAAGACGCCGTAATTTTGAAGTAGAACAGTATAATAGAGCCCTTCCAGACTAATACTACGTGTCTTTATTGACAGCTTGTCTTTGAGCCAAAATCGTTGTGTGTGTGACCCGTTTCGTCCAGAAATATCTATGTAAAACATGCTTCTTTTTACAAGCTTTTCATTATCGTCAGTCCCCAATAGTTCGGGATCTGGTTAGCTTAATTTTAAGAAAAAAAAGAATACAAGATTTATTTCAAAAGTACCTGGAAACGACGTCTTCATGGCAAAGCTTAATACAGTCTCGTATGATTTGAGGTACAACTTTTTGACTTTTGGAAAAAGCACAGGCATTCGACTGTAAGTCTTCTGTCTTGTGCAACTTTTTGCCGTAATAGTTCTTTACTTCTTCTTTAACATCACCATCCTCCAGCTTTTGTTTCTTGCTACAAGACATTGCTAAGGTTTCTTTGCTAAGCCTTTCTTTTTTAAAGAACAATGTAAAGTCGATGAGTCGAGCAAAAGCTGAGTAAAATGCTAGCAAAAGGCTAAATGGTTCGACTGTTACAGTCCTTTTCATATTACTTTTTCGCGGTGGGTTGGGAACTGTTGGACTGGACTGGACTGGACTGGACTGGACTGGACTGGACTGGACTGGACTGGACTGGACTGGACTGGATTTCAAGTTCGCGCAATTAGTTTCAGTCCGAGGCGCAGTTTTCAGTCCGATATTGGAGGCTTTGAAATGACTTCACACGCTCATTAATTATTCAACTTGGAGTAGCTGGAACAAAATTAATTCAGTCCTAGGACTGAATTAATTTTGTTCCAGTTACTAAAGACTGTGACCCAAAAATAGCCCATTGATGGGCTGGTTTCCTCATGAATTATTAATAAGTATGAGAATTTTAGATGTAAGCAGTTCACGGTTTACTGAACTTTTTTCATTTGAAGTTTATTGTTCGCATACTGTTAAATACAACAATTACAAAAAAGAGCATTTTACGGTAGGTTTTCTTGATTGACTACTAGCACAAATGGAGAGCAAAAAAATTAAGTTTTGAATGAATTCTCTGTTGCTCAGGATTAGCCTCAATTTTGCTTTCAGAATATATTTGTTTTAGCGAAGGTTTGTGGAATTTTAAAGTGTTTGTATTGTTGAAGTCGTGCCTTCTTTACTTTACCATTGGCATTTGTGAATATTTTGAAACTGAAATAGAGGTTTTGCACCATCACGTGACGGCAGCCATGTTAGATGGCAGGAGCAATGTAATCGTTTTACACGAGCAACCGATTCAATCCCCAAGAGTAAAGGGAATTTATTGTTCTGCCAACTAAACACAGGTAGCCCAAGCTGTATGGGCATGGGCACGTAATGGTTCAAAACCCCTATAAGGCTAACTCTAAGGACTAAGTCAAGGACAAAGCGGTAATTCACGAAGTCGTGAAAGAAAATGCGTTCTATACAGTTCATAGTCGTGATGGTTCGAAATTTTCACGGCGTTTGTTATCCGTCATGATCATCCTGTCTCGTCGTGGTGGACATGGTTCAGGAGATACTTCAGGATTTGGCATTACGCTTGACCCACTGGGCTTTGAAAGATGAAGACTTTGTAGCTTTGCGTGTACTTTGGAACGAATCTAATGGACACAGAAAAAAAACGAACCTTAAGCCTGCCGCAGCCATGTCATTTCTTGTGATAGTCAAAACCCTTGCTGCCGCCGCGGATGCGCGCGCATCCTGGAGCGCTTGAAAGCGAGGCTATGCGGGGAAAATTCTATTGTTGCAGGCCCATGGCTGCCGCCGTGAGAAAGGTCCAATCTCATGCTTTTTTTCTGCTTTTCTCCTACCAAGCAATTCAAAACAAAATAAAGTGTTTCAAAGAAAACAGGGGCTTCGCTTTCATGAAGTTCTCTTTCCGGGAATTGATCTGTTGTTTTCAATCCCAAGGGGGAGTTGGGTGAGGCAGCAAAAACTACTGAGTTAACCAGGAAAGGAGTAGGACCATAGCTTAATGAGATTCACTTTATCGTTTAGACTGTATCTTGGCATATCAAGATATGTCTTAGACGACGTGTTGTTATAGCTAGAATCTCTTACCTCGCTATTTCTGACGCAGCTGAGTATGAATATCAAAAATCCCTGAAACAATTCGTTAAGAAAATTATGAACATTTGGGATGGTTTTTTTCCCGTATCATATTATGCGTATTTATCAGTAGACTTTCGCAAAGTCAACAGCGCTTTGTGTATCTTGAGTCGATCGGGTACTTCGCTCGCTCGCTACGCTCACCAGATTCCGGTTTCACTCGAATAAACTAAACTCCTCGGGAGACAATAAGAGAGATCGACTTGGGGAAAATCTAATTTTTCAGTAAAATCCCATACTTACTGCAGACGAATGAACACTCATTTGTGTTGATAATCTTTAATGACGGAAACCTACTCACTAGACGTGGTCTTCAGTAGGGCCCTATTTCTTAATGAGCAGAGCTTCTGTTTGGTTAATTAATTTGGCTAACCGAGTCATTCATTATAATATTTGTCTTAGTTGGAATAATTTTTGAATCTGAATTTTGAACCGACCTGTTCAATGAGCAGAGCTTCTGTTTGGTTAATTAATTTGGGTAACCGAGTCATTCATTATAATATTTGTCTTAGTTGGAATAATTTTTGAATCTAAATTTTGAACCGACCTGTGTTGAATTCAGTATAGTGAAGATATAAAGTGCTGTCACGCCCACCTCCGACATGGTCAATATCCCGAATAACCACGTGATACCAAGAAGGGGGAAAAGCACGATGCAAGCCTTGGCTGTCTTTCTGTAAATCAAAGGAATGTTAGTGAATTTACACTTCAATGTCACGCAACCCGGATAGATTCATTTTCGTCACGTGTGGTCGATTGTGTACCGTTACTGTACCGGGTCGCGCTGTAATTTTTTTAATGACGTACGCATGGGCGTAGCAAGGTCTCGCTTATAGCGGGGGGCAATGTACCATGTTTCCCTACAAATCCACAGAAATCCCGCATGACTGAGTTCGAGGCAAATTTTGGAAGGGCACGTGCTCCTCGTGCCCCCCTTCCTACACTAGTGAACGTGCGACCGACATTCGGTTGCATGCTTAGTTGATTGCTCATCGGACTGTTGTGAGGGACTGTGGTTCCAAGTTGAATCCTCGGCCTGACCAACACTCAGGGTCTTAAAATGACTGGGGACAAAGTGCTGCCTTTGTGATTAAATCTACTAATGGTTAGACTTTCAAATGTTCGCTTTGACTACCAGTCCCGTCTCTCCAAACTTCATCGTTACCAATATCAGATGGACATGTATAGAACCACTGAGGATGTAAAGAAACCATGGCAGTGACCATCCTCAGTGCATACACTTTATACAAACCCTCCCTCATGATTGTAAACGCCTTGAGTATATACTCATTTCAAAAAGTGTTGTTGGTTGGAGATCTAAGATCTGAGACCGGGTGGAATGGTGGGAATCATCACTCACCGAACAATACTTAGTTGTGATGTAGATCCTCCTATCGTGTCATGCATCTTTGACATCTCTCTTATTACATGCAGCAAGAGAATAATGTTGATCTAGAGCCGATCACAAGATAATGAAGATTATTCGGTTAAAATCAGGCATTCCTCAAGATAAGTTAAAACCTAATGTACTTACAAGTGTTATTGCTAAAATAGGTCCAGCGAATGTCCAGGCCAGCTTGTTTTTAAACGATAACCAACAACTAAATATTGAATGAATGTAGATGGAAAACAAACTAAGACAACAGCATGATAATAATGCAAAGTGTCATAGTGTGAGTAGAGTCGTTTGTTGTTTCTCTCCTGTGCTTCGAGGGTTTTTGTTCCCGTTTTGCTCCCTCTAAAAAAATCAGCTTCCAAACTCCAAATGAATCCAGCTAGATAAACACAAATGCCATCACTACTAGAGCGAAGGCATTTAACCCGTGAAATAAAAAATACTAGTCAACGTGTAATAGTCAAATAGACACAAAAGAAAACAATGGAATTAGGGTCTACTAAAGTGTATTAGTCTAACATCTATTTCACGGGTTTAATGACTTCACTCTAATGAACCCCAGTTGCAATAGTAACTAGCATTCAATAGACTTATATCTACATCACGGGTAATGCTACTTTGGGTTTCGGGGATTTACATGCTCGTTACAGAGAAACACTGGAGCGAGAGACCCTCTGCCAAGGCACCCTGGGGAAAGTATGCCAAACCACTCTAAGACTAAATCACTTACAATCTCTCGTTGATTAACCCTGCTGCGCCATCCTTGCTGGTCAGCGCTGCTATGACAGTTGCCATGACAACGATTGACGGGAACCCTATGACCACAAGAGAAAACATGCGATTTACCCAGAGGATGTTATGAATTTTGTCCCCAATTGGGCTTCCTGTGCGTACGGACGAAAAAAAGTTGGGCAGCACATGCAACGGAAGGGCATTAAAAACATCGCGGTCTCAAGACAAACAAACAAGGCGGATATGACGTACCCCAAGCAAAAATGTAGTTTGCAACCATTCCATGCTCGATGTTAAATACTTTAACAACATGTAGATATAACTGGACTCCTTCGACGAGCATCCAACAGAATGCGACCAAGTAGAAATACTGAATGAAGACAGCCACAGCTATACAACCACCCTGAAAAATAGACCAAGTACTTTGCGCTATAAAAATAGGATATCGTTCTCAATATTCTGCGCGGAATCGTCGTCGTGACAAAGAGCGTTTTGGTAAACGTCAATTAAGGCGTTTCCATGACATTCCATACGCATATGCCCTTGAAAACTTTGTGTTTTTCTACAATGTCACGGAAGCACTTTCTACTTTGTCATTCGTATCCAAAATAATGGTTATAATTTGTATTTTATAAAAGAGATTAAAATTCCATTTTCAGTAATACTATTTCAAGCGAAAGTTAAAATCGCTCGGTTCGTTGACAAAGAGCATTAACTTGAGTACGAAAAAAAAACATACCAAGTTTTGTGTCGCGTCGATGCCAGCGATGAAGATTATCTGCCCAATAGCGATCGATACCACAAGGTTGATACGAATCTGCGACAACTGCGCACGCAGATTCCTAGAGAAATGTTAACGATATATGTAAACAAACACTAGATCGAATACTCTCGTTCCTCCTCTACGTAAATGCGTGACATTTCTATAAAGTACAGATTTTGCTACAACTTTCTAATACGTGGCAATAATACTCAAACAATCCCAGGATCCTCTGCGCACAATCATCAGGTAGCAAACACAAGTTAGTCATATGGTATCGATCTTGCTACTGCTATATTTCAGAGGTTGCAACAATATACCCAAACAATCCCAGTATCCTTTGCGCGTTTCAGTGAAATAATATGAATGTGTACATATGGGGATACACTTGTATATAGTACTTACACAAAAGCAAAGTACAACAAGATTGTTAGTGCGCAGCCAAGTAAAGATAGTCCTAAACCAATGTAGGTGATGATGGATAAAGCATCTTCGTCTGTCTTGGATAACTGTATCAACAGAAAATCTCGTTGTAACGGCAAAACAATTGTCATTTTACGGAATAATGTATTACTATGAGGATAGCCCGCGGTGCTCCGCGGTCTGCGGTTTCTCTCCCAATTACTCTCCGATACCACTCTCTTTTTCGTAACACTCGCAGACCGTCCAGTAACGCAGGCTAGTTTAAGAAAGAATTACGTTACCGTTTGTTCTTGTATTTGCATGAGAATACCAAAGTGTGTCAGGTGGTTACAACTACATTCAGTCATGTGTTCATCTTGTCTTGACACCATACATCCTTGTTTTGACCATTTGTCCTTTTCATCAAAGCTTGGATCACGCAATAAACATAAATTAGCTTTTTCAATACTTATTTTACGTTCTTATTTCGGTGGGTTGGTGGGTTGGTGGGTTGGTGGGTTGGCTGGTTGGTGGGTTGGTGGGTTGGTGGGTTGGCGGGTTGGTGTATTGGTGGGTTGGTGTATTGGTGGGTTGGTGGGTCTGTCCGACCTTACCGCCACGTTCTGACATTCTTGTGAGTCTCCTTGTACGAATGGTATGCAAGGGTTGTAACCATACTCGTAATGTCTAGATGAAGCTTTGAACCTTGAAAACAAAGTGTGATCATTMAAAATCACTRGCTAATCGACTGAGGGCAGTTAGTTAGATAACTCCTGAGATATTACGCCAGACAAGAGTGAAAAACGTCTGCGCATGCTCTGAATCCGTATGCAAATTACTCAAAACATAAGTAAATTTCACTGCCTTTCAAACATGCCTGATAAATTGGACTTCACAAAATGTCAAAACTTAGTGTCCATGCTTGAAACTTAAGGCTAATTCTTTCATATTGTGTTTGTTAATACAGTATCTTGGTCTGACAAAAGTATACTCTCGAACTTTTTTGTATACTTGGAGAAAACAAACATTTATCTTTTCACTCAAACTCTTCAGAATTCTTAGAAAAAGTGCTAAAATGCACGCATGCGCAAACGTTTTTCTCTAGTGTTATTACGCCACCCTTTTGAAATAATGTTTATCGTATTGTATTGCAAGACATGCTCTTTTTTCCAAACGATAGAATAAAAATGGTTCATACCTTGCGCCGTCTGTCTTTGCCAATGAACTAATATTATAGATGTGTCCATTGTATTTACATGCACACGAGCTCAGTTTCGTAATTGAGGACGAGACCAGATTTAAATAAGAAGCTTGATGGACTAGTAATGTAGTAAGAATAATCCGACCAACATTCAACATGTCTGACTAAAAAGTAATTAAGATAACGTAATTTCTTTTTTTAGAGAAAATTATATTATTTTAATATTATGATTATTTCAGTCTAGCCTAGTTTTAGAATATTGAAAAATTCCAGTTCGCGAGTATAAGAAATATAAATCTAGGCGCTGCATAACAGCAGAACTCCCATTGTTTTAGATACATGAAATGAAATAAAATGCAAAATTGAAATATAATAATAACAATAATAATAATAATGAATAATAATAATAATAATAATAATAATAATAATGATATAAAGTTCTTAACAAACGCATCATATAACGTCTCGATGCTTTTTACAAAAGGACCAGACGGATATCAAGTTTGTGGTAAAAATTGCAAAAAATTAGGTCAGTCACTCCTGGTGAACAGGTTACTAGTGTTTTAGTGCAGATTTAAACTGAACTTGAGTACTTAATTGCATCAGGGAGATTGTTCCAGAGTGCCGGTGCAGCCAAAGCGAAGGTTCTTTTTCCAAACGTTCATGTCTTTGGTCTTGGAGTCACAAGCAGAAATTTAAAGGAGGAACGTAGGGTACGTTTGGGCTGATAGAAATTATTCCAAATAAAGATAATGTCCCCATAATGAGAGCAGGAAAAAAATCCAATCAAAATGCACTACATCCTTTTCTTCGCGAGTCTTTGTTTTCCACTTTACTAATAACTGTCCNTTGGCGGGTTGGTCGGTTGGCGGGTTGGCGGGTTGGTGGGTTGGTGGGTTGGTTGGTTGATGGGTTGGTTGGGTTTGTCACATTGAGCCTGGACTGTCCACTTACGTAAAGTCCCAAAACACGCAGGTTTGATTGCTAGTGTGATGAGTCTACAAGAAAATAGAATGTAAATACGACTGAACAAGCAAAAACAACAATGTCTTAAAATCACACAGAATCTATTTATAACAGCAAATGTTTTTACCTTCAGTGATGGCAGAGTTTCAAATCGAAGAGTTACATTGGGCGCCATCTTTTTTCTAGGTGGTTTTACCGTCACAGACAAGACCCGTGTCCCAAGTTGACCACCACTGAAGACAAGTTGGTATAAGATCAGTACATATTGACAGAGCGTAAGGTCAGAACAGGGATAATTGTATGAAAAACTGATAAAAAGATCCAGTTGATTGATATTTTCAGTGCATGAAGAAAAAAAATAAACTTCAAAAGTAACCTGACGACAATAAGGTTCCATATCACTCTTCTTCACTATTAGCAAGCGTAAAAGACGCCCATATGATTGAGTAATATACTAAAAAAGTACCATATGATGCAACACGTTCTTCAACTCCTGACGGCTAATAACACATGTTAACCGCGCATGCGTAATACTTGAATATTTTCAAATTGTTCCAATATGGCCAGAGCCTGCGTTTGTTCTGGCCTGCGGCGAAGAACGAGGGCTCTCGCATAATCCATTTTTTGGCGCATGCGCAATTTTCCGGAAGTCTAATATAATGAATAATACAAAGATTCAATACAAGAAATCGAAAACTTTTTTTTTCAAGTCTTTTAACGCATGCGCTCAAATACCGGAAGTCCAAGAAATCCTGGTCTCAAGAAGTGGATTATGCCAGAGCCCTCGTTCTTCGCCGCAGGCCAGAAGAAACCCAGGCTCTGGGGACAAGATTGAAAATGTTCTTACTTGTCTCGTTCATGATGAATATCCAAAGCCTGTTGTAAATAGCGATGGAGGCTTTTGTACAGAATGCTGACGACGAAACTATCTGAAAATATGTGTAAAAGAGAAAGTCAACAAAGTGTGCTAAAGTCGCACGTGCGCAGATATAAATTCAGCGATCGAAGTTAGCGCATGCGCAGATAGATCAAGTCCTTAAAGTCGCACACGTGCAGCAAGAAGCACAGCAACCTAAAATTTTGCTTGTTCATTTATCTGTTATCTTACCTTTATCAGTGTAATGTTTGGTTGGTAGGACCACCATAGCGCCATATTTGTTTTCGTCCGTGTTTGGAAAGGTATATTCCTTAGAGCTGTTATTCGCAATGCGCTTGGCATCAAACACTATATAAGAAATAAAATAAAAACACTATGATTTCCACTAAAATGATTATAAGATAAGAATTAAAGCATGCCCTGGCTTTGATCAGCCCAGAGGTTGTTTCAGGGGTTCAATCTGTGAGTTAGCCATGCCCTGACTTAGATCAGCTCAGAGGTTGTTTCAGGGTTCAATCTGTGAGTTAGCCTTGCCCTGACTTAGATCAGCCCAGAGGTTGTTTCAGGGTTCGATCTGTGAGTTAGCCGTGCCCTGACTTTCGTCCCGAGGTTGTTTCGGGGTTCAAAATCTTGATTTCACCAACTGAACCCACCAATTCTATCGGTTTCCATTTTTATACTGTGATTTGATTCTTCTAGGTGGCGTGCAGCAAACCTGAAGCTAAACTCCTCCATTCTGGACACACAACACATTATGTAACTTTTGGGAATTGAATGCAGGTGTCTGCCGGATTGTAGAGCGTTGAGCAGATCATCCAACAAAAACGTTGCGTTCTAAAAACCGGGATAAAAATGTTTACAAATATTGTTCACACTCGCTATTTTCTGGTTGTGGATCCAGGGTTTAAAAAGATTCTAGCAGTGATTCTAAGATAGCAATTGCTCATAGACATTTCAGTAACCGATTTGTTCTCGCAGGGGTCACTTGATACGCTTTCATTTCCATTCCCCATGAAACAATTTTTCTCTGTGGGATGCGAAGAGAGAGCGCCGAACGCTATTATTTTTCAGTTTCCTATAGAGCGTTTTCACGTGACGCCACAGCGGCCATTATGGGGAACCTGAAACAATACATTTTCTATCCTCCGCGAATTGAACTCTATTTTTATGCAAATACTGTGCAGAAAGTTTCTAATGTTTATGGCTGCCTTCTGACGTGAGTGAAAACTCTGTATTATTAAAAGCAACTTCTATTGATGTGAGAGAAACCGAGATGGGCCAAAGAGTGAACCCTGGGGTATACCACAGGGAAAGTGTTATATGATCTTGTGTTTTTCTTTCTCTTTTATATAATTTTCTATATTTTATGTGATTATTAACTGAATCAAAACTGATCCTTTAATAGCAACATTAACCTGTAGTGACCGCCCGTGTTCAACATCGAGAGAAGCAATCCCATTAAGAAAAGACATAAGCTGAAAATAGAGCAAAATATCAAATATTTGAGCAGACATGTGAAAAAATATATTAATTTTTGAAGCTCAGAGCAAACATAGAAATGGTGTTACCTAGGTTATCTTTTGCTATATTTTAATCATTTTATAAAAATATTTGTATACATGCATGTAGATGGTATACTTATATATATATTTATATTGTTAACAAGAACTATTATTCGTGAATAATTTGTAAATGTTATTTATTATTATTTTTGATTATACGCAAACACATACATCTTTCTCTCTCTCTCTTACTTCTCTTGCACAGTGTGATCTTGATAAACTAAGGCATTCTTGTAATACTATGATAAAGAAAACATTGGAGAAATAAGACAGACAGACAGACCACACACGCACATACACAGGGGGAGCAATGAAGGAAAGACAGATGGGTAGATGGGTAGATGGGTACATAGATGGGTAGATGTGTACAGATGGGTAGATGGATAGATGGATAGATGGGTAG